TTGGTTCCATGTACCTCAAGCGACTCAGAAGATTTCCAGAACAAGTTTATCTATTCAGATTTCTTATTTGCAATTCTCGACGCCCGAGTAAATGTTTTTGTGTCACCGGTGGTTTAGGAATTGTCCTGGTGAGAACTTGACAGACGCAAAGACCAATCACTAATTATTCGAACTTGCTATATACCCACGAATACGAGACCAAGGAAGAACACGATAGCGTGGTCGAATGGAGTAGTATGTTTGGATGGTTGTGCCAAGATACCGATGCTTTCCAACTAACTGGCTACAGAGTCGAATGCGAGCAGTGCAACGTAACACGACAGCGTGCCAAATGGCGAGGGTGCTTGACCGGGTGCCTTCAGCTTAGCGAGTCCAGTTGAACTATCAAGGTCAGCATCAATGTCGAAAGTCGTCAAACCCTAGGCTACCGATTTGGGGGGAGTGTGTGACGCTACAGAGGTAAAGGGAGCAACGCATGGGGGGAAGTTGCCAATAGGGTGAGACCCATACAGGCAGACAACAATGCTGTGCCAGGGTGTATGTTTATATCCAGTACAAAACTAACTTTTGAAATATCCATCATGCGTTGCTAAAACATTCTGCGTTTTCACTTCAGGTGTATGAATGATTCACAGGTAATGCTCTGAAGGACAGATGTGTGGAATCATCCGCGCAAACTTTGTAGCGTCTACCTAAGGGTGAAACAATAATTGGAGTGCTGAGCCGAAATTGAGAATATTATTTGTCACGGTAGGTCACAAATACATACATGTCTGTTGCTTCATTCATGATATCTTGTAAGATCAAAATCTTGTCCGCGGCTACCAGGACTACATCCTTGCCATGTTTTGTTTCTTCGTAGGGGTACACATTAGTCCTGGTTTCGGAAACTCACGCTCCACCTAAGCCATCCCTGATATGTGAGACTTTAGGAATTGTCTTGGTGTGAACTTGACATACCCAGGGGCCAATCTCTAATTGTTTCGTACTTGTTGTATACCCACGAACACGAGACCAAGAAAGAACACAATAGCTTAACCGGGTGAATAGCATATTTGGGTTCGTGCCAAAATACTGGTGCGTTCCAACTAACTGGCTAGAGGTTTGGTCGTTGGCGGCAAAACATGAAACAACAGCGTGCCAAACAGCCTGGATGCTTGACCGGGTGCCTTCGGCTCAGCGAGCCCGATAGGACTATGAAGGTCAGTATCAATGCTGAATCTCGTCGGACGCTGGGCTACCGATTCTGGAGAAGTGTGTGACGCTACAAAACCTCCGGCTGTCTAGTTCAGACTTTCTCGATACGATTGAATACTGCCGGCATCAGAACAGCTTTCTTGGGGTTCAGAGCCCTTAGTGAACACCCCTGACAACAAAATATCGTCAAAGTCAGCAAAAATAACATTCGGAATGTCTAAATATTATCTAAGCAATCTTCTGGGGGTATCAGTGGATGCGTTCTGTTTTGGAAGTCTGTCCTGGTGCGTATTCCTCCTCTTGTTAACAGCCACCATTTTGCGGCTCTGTGGTATTCACTTCTAGGTGTATACTCGGGGTTGGTAGTGCAGCCATTTATATCAGAGAAGTAAAAGGTTCTCAGCAAAATAACCTTTCGACCACAGGCCAATAAATACGTTGTCAGTCTGGGCGAATTAGCCATCCAGTGCATTTCTTCATTTGCCATTTGTCGTCGCTATTGCCACGTAGGTAGAGCACTGGTGGCATACTGAGATTTCCTTATGGCTGAGGGTCAATGCACTGCCAGTCTTTTGGTGCGCCACTGCACGAATAGTAGGCATTTGGTTCATGGTTCACACACGAAGTTGTATACGCATGGTCACTATAAATTATTGTCACAGTCACTTTTTTCATTCGCGCACAATCTTTCCGCCATTACCTGTGGAGATGCTGGTCTCATTGTTTCCGTTAAACTTAATGATGCGTCGTCCGTCACTTCCACGCTCAAGTAAACCGGTGATGCTTAAAAGGAGCGTTTGAGTTATTAAATGTATACCAGGTATGCGATGTATGAAAAAAGGCTGGTTGCACTTGAACCGAGCCCGGATTATCATTCAGTCAAGCGTACCTGAGGATCACATGAGCAGGTTGCTTTCTATAAAGCGAGGAATTACGGGTTTGGCCTCCGAAAGTGTAAGTTAGCACTGCTTGTTCCAGTTAACTTGAGCGCCCATCCATACGCCAGCCATTCTCAAAGTTGGTATGTATGTGATGGACCAAAGACAAGAGCAAAGTTTTGTGTAGAATATTTAATCCACGTGAAATATTTCATTCTTCCAATTACTTATCATTGATGGCTTAGACTTGAGTCAAAATGTAGTGTGTACTTCATTGTAGACTGAAAAAAGGGTGAATGTTTTTATGCTGCCGCAAGTGTGGAGTGACACCATGGATTTTACACGCAACGAACAAAGCAGTGTTCGAAATAGGTATCTTTGAATACACCCAATGTCTCACGAACGTGGCTCCGTGTTCCTTCTCTGTAGTGACTGCTATATTCCGAAACCTAGGGAGTTAGTCTTCGTAAAAACAATTAGCAATTTCATCACCCCAAAGTCAGATTCCATTTGCAAAAAAACTATGGAGGCAAGGTACACGGATAATCCGCTTAAACTTTAAAACACTGAAAAAATGTTCCTAGACGTGAATAAAGTGAAGTTTTCGGGTGAACGCTTCGTAGACATTAGATTCGACTCTTATCACGCGTGATTCATAAACACATAGCAGTATAGATTGGACTGCTGTACGACGCGCTTGGGCACTGATTGACAACTAAAAATCATGGCGACACCTTAATGGCATAAATTGCTTAAAGCCAAGGGGCCCCATTGTATCCACGCAGAGATTTGAAAGGATGCTGAACTACCGTGCCACATACAGTTTCTCAATTAAGCGAGGCGGTCAGTACACTCACTTCACTGTCCGTAACCATCACCAAAGCAGACTAGCCCTGTAGCAACAGTTTGCATTTGGGCGGTCGGAAAAGTACTGCGTACGTTCTGAACACCCTTTTGGCATTTCTGCCTAACGGGACTGCACATTCCGCATAATCCAGCTTTTTTCAGGAGTTTCGTGTGAAATGTTTAAATTCTGGGGAGTTGAGTTATGATGGAAGGCATCCACATGCATGTCTATGCCAAAATTAAATAAGAGAGGAGAGTGCGGACTGCTCGAGGAAAACCGTTGACATACATGCCTTAACTGGGGCTTCACAATGTACTCCATAGAGTGCTCAACAAAGTGTCATTATCACTCGACGCCACGTTCAGTGAGAGGTGCTGCCATAAGACCTGTCGATCAGCGGAGTTGAGAGGCACGTTCGGGTAAGGTGGTACAGGCCATTCTGGGCTACGACATAGATCCTTGAGTTATCATTCTGGTTAGGCATAAAACACACTATAGAAATCAGTAGAATGTGACTAAGCAGCAAAGAAAGAACGATGGTGGATGAAGACAAAAGGACTAGTCTTGCAGAGGTCCTGCGGTAGACGAAAATATGGCTAATAAATCATTATTATCATTAGACAAAACAGATATTCCACCTCGGTCAAAAGTTTCATCACCTGGGATACCATTCAATTTATCGAAAGGGCTATGTGGAAAACTCACGCGCCTCATCCGTGGATGTGAACATTCGGTCGGCTTGTTGAGCTCTGAATTCTGACTACAAATTTATACACGCATCCGGATACACTATCGCCTGTTTATTACCCCAGACAGTGCTGGTCCACCTGCGTCAGACAGTGTAAATACCAGGAGTTAACGCAAAGTGTATATCAGGATACTGTATTGGTCAACGAGCAGATAAAAGTTTTTAAATTGGTGCAGCCAAACAAAATTTTCATTTATGAATCGTTATATGTGTCAACACAATACTGTGAAATAAAATGCTGCAGGCTCACTAACTTTGTTTTTAAACAAAATGAGAGATTTAAAGATACACAGTGATAGGATGACAGCATCTCCCCTGGTGTGAATTCATTTTTCTTTTCAGCTGACTCGAATATGGCCAAGAAGACAATGGATATTGTCCTGAAGAACGAACTGACTCTATCTGACTGCACGGAGCTCATGGTCCCAAGCCTAAGAGAGGTGATCGATCTCTGTCTGACGAACTATCCCTAATTCAAGGGAAAATTCACAGACAAACATAAAGGACACCTACTAGGTTGCCAATACCAGCACTGACTGCTGAAATGGTGATGCAGCTGCCAGAATCCACGGTCATTTCTCTTATCAACCAAGCCTTAAGACTCATAACGGCTATGACAATTTCATAGATTTCGAGAAGGATGAAATCTAAAACATTTTCAAGCCAATCAACCAAGCATTTGAAAAAGTTCAGTTCACGAAGAAGGGCCAATACCTGGGCGAAACTCCGTGCCTAGATATTTTTATCGGCGGGACGCATGACGGGAAGCCAACCACTTCGATCGACAGTACGGAACAATCGTTCACCAATTCTACAGTACGAAGTTTGAAGTTCAGCTTCTTGTCGAATAGCACAGTCAGTGATTGGGGACGTTCAAAGCGGATTATGACTCACTCTAGCACAGTAGCCGGTACTTCATTTGATCTGGGCAAAAGTCCTGGACCGCTGTCAATAAACACCTCTGGCACTTAGAATCTGGCTCTGTTCTCTTCCCTTGTATAATTTTATTTATGGCCTTATTACCTTCTGAAAGAGTTAGAGGTCCTACAATAATGTTGTATCCAGGATCCGACTGGATGAGAGGTAGCATAGGAGTAGCTGGAATTCAGCTGAACATCTCAAATATATCCGCCCATCTCTACAGTCACCTCTCCTCTGGATGGCTCTCAGCAAAGCAACTAATAAAATAAATAAACCTTTTTGATTGTTTCAGTGGATGATTTAATGGGTTTTTGAGTCGCTTCTCGCCAAAAGGCTTTTCGTGTGTAGCATGAACAAAGAAGTCTGTTATAACCGGTCAAGATTACGAAAAGCTACCTTGAAAATGATAGCGCAACATTCAGTTGTGTTAGTGGGATAACGCTTCGGGATGGTATTATTTTACATATCATTTCTCATCGAGCTATCACTCCCTTCAAGTCTTTCAGGTAGGGCAGAGCTTTCTTTTGGATTTTTTGGGCTTTTAGTTACGGAGACGGAAAAACTGCCCCATTTCGCTCTTCGTGGCTTTTTATCTACGAATGACATTCTCTACTTCCATTTTTCTATACCACGTCACACGTTTAGCAGCAAACTTTCCATATCTGCCACGTTCCATGACTGCATACCTGAGAGTATCATTCTGTTGGTTTTATGTCTGCCCCTCATTAATTTCATGTTTTCTAGAACAATGCGTGCTGGTTCTCTCCCTTTGATCAGACCTTTTGGGGTTCCGGTGCCAAATGGGGTTGTTATGCCTACAAACTCTTACACAATTACCATACCGACTTTTGAACCATTCAACTCAACGTTTATAGCTGACGACTGTGGCGTTTACTCCCATTTTCATATTAAGTCAACTAATTTGCGAAATGCAGCAAATATAGATATAAGGATTACATCTCCGGTGATTGGACTCTGGTTTGTGGGGACATATATGACTATTCTAGCTCAGGTAAGTTACTCGTCTGCATTATTTTTCATAACTGCAATCATGTGGTCACTTTCGGTTAGCTTTGTTTCCATGTGAGTGGTTGTCAGAATTCGAAGAACCTGGATGTTTGGATGCAAATAGCATTTATTAACAACATTTTTAGATGCAATTCCAATTGGAGGAATGAGTTTTGGGGATGTTTTATTCTGGGATGAAGTGTTATATGCATCTGTTGGTGGTCAAGAACGATAGCTCACACATGTTGCATAAAATTTCGATGCCGAGGGTGCGTTAGTATTGTCCGCAGTCATAATCTGCATATCGGATGAGAAAGAAAAACTTAGAGATATGAGAGGTGGAGTTATTTATTTCAGAATTTAGGGAAACTATTGAAGACAGCTTCAAGAAGAGGTTAGACAGTTACTCAGCAACGCATGGCTTGCGCCCATCTAGCTGGGGTATCGACTAGGCTGATACAACCTAGTAACTGCGCACAACTCAGCACGGCCAACGCATTACTGAATCTTTTGTAACGCTGCTATCATCGCTAACATGGCCCAACTTTATGCTTCCCTGTAGACATCTTCAGTTACTATCTACTAATAGTATTACTATCTCTACTCCCATAAGCCGCCCTATCATATTTTTGGTTCTTCTCTTCCTACTGACTTTATGTTCTCACACTACTTAGTAAAAGCTCTCTATCGCCTCTCTCATGAATCTACCGAGATTTATTCCGTTCCGTTCCCTTTCACCTAATCGTTTTTTTCTTTTCTTTCTCTCCGCACTTCATCTCCCCTGATTTCTCTGGACTTATTTTCTATCTGCTTTTTACAACCAATCCAACCGACTGTTTGCTGACACAGCACTTAAGGAACTCATCTACACCACAGTCCTTGAAAAAACTACACACTTCCTACAAATTTAACCAACACTGAACCGTCTATCGGGCTAACCAGAGCTACAGCAGTCGAGTGGGTGGACCTACTGCGTCGGAATCCACCAAAGACCTGGAACCGTTCCACAAAACCTAGAAGCGGGAACGAAGAAATCAATTGATTTACACTAGCTCGTAAAAAAATATTGGATTTGACTCTCAATCTCGGAGACTAAGGTGTTAATTCCACCGTACACATTTTAGCCGGGTCAGCAGAGTAGTCTTGTGAGCCCACTCAACCAAAACAATCCGTAGACCTGTACAAACTTGATTCACTTTCATTTCACTGAAAAATAAAAAAGCCTGATATAATTGTTTATTTTATCGATTCATTTTATGGGCAAAGCATTGTATATCTTAATGCTATACCATTCTCCCTAGTAATCGTATTGAAGTAAAATCGCCACAATTTGTCAATACAACTAAAAGAATGACTTCAGTAATATCAACTCTAGGGACCCATTGATTTGATAGTAGTGAGAAGACAATTTAATCCGGACTTTACATTACTGTGAGGTGGTCCTAGCACGTTACGATACCGGTCAGGAAGATGGGTGATAGAGAAATATGTATAGAGAATGTAACTAAAAGTTGTAGAAGTTCAACAGATGAGGAAAGACGGAAACAAAACGATTACGAAATGTGACATTTAGATTAGGATTAGGAAGGTGTAGAGATGCATTTACGATACTGCTATTGGTTCTTATCCGTATTACCTAGTCTGTCATCACCGATTTTGGTGATCACGTATACTCCAATCAGAAAGTCGATATTTTCTCTCGTGACTCAGACTAACAAAATAGACCTAGTGGACTGTCACCACATGTAAGTCCGATTGCTTTAGACATTTTCCAGCCTAAGCTAACTACAGTTACTACTGTGCTACGGTAAATAGGCATCCATATCACCCTAGTCGAAAAAAGCTTATGAACTCTTCAACTGACTTTCCTTTTTTATCCAGAAGTCTACACGTGACTTCTATATTTCTTAGTGGAGCTGTAGCTCAGTGGTTCAGGGATATAATTTCCAACCAGTGGGTCATGGGTTCGAAAACCATCCCGACTTACCGAGGTTTGGGGAGGCAGGTAGTATCACTAGACCTTACATATATATATATATATATAAACAAGTATGACAACTTAAGCTTATGCATCTGTGCGCAAGGTTCTGTGTTGGTATTGTCAATCATATATTAATATAACTGTTCTGGGTTAGTAATAGTGCACAACAATAAGGTGAAAACACCCCTATTGCAGTAATGCAGTGCAAATAAAACTAGTTTTATGTGTTGTCGACAGAAAATATGCAATGTAACTGACCTAATCACCCTCTTGTCTTACTGTGCGACTTTTCATTAAACATTAAATTTACTGCTGTTCATTAGTAGTGCTAGTGTCGTAGAACTCTTTCTACATTTTGTGAAATTTTCAGGCACTGGTTGTCAGGGAACGGAAATACAGTTCCTCAGTCTTTAGCAGTATCAAATGAGATAGATCTTGACCTTTAGCTTGAGTATCCATACGGTGTAAGAAAGGTGGTTTTTATTCGAATCATTTTTAGTTACATATCTTCCATATAAATAATGGTCAAATAAATGTACAGCAGTCAGTGGCTATTCGCTCATTTATGTGTTCCCCATTCAATCGGAGTTTCAAAGATATCCAGTGCAATAACTTTGATCTTATAAACAAGAGGTTAGCTTACTGCATCATTTTTATGGTGTACCTTCTCTATCAAAGCACTGGTAGTAATAGTATGTGATAATTACTGTTTTGTGGTATGCACTGAGAAACAGTTTCATTAAGTTTGACATTTAAAAAAAATAGCTAGCTGTCGGTATACCAAGGGTTCCCTGTAAGTTTTTATTGGTGACGTGTTTTAAAGTACTGAATTGCAGTCAAGAATTAGTGTTTCTCTATAAAAGCTAACTATGAAAACTTTTTCATATTTTCTGTACAGAAAGAATGTATAGCGTGGTTATTGCCTTCTGTCAGACATGATATTTCCACCGTTGATGGGCATATTTCTTACAGCGAAAATGCCCAGTCAAAACACAAGCAGTCAGTGAATATCGGAAGACCAGTCAGTGAAAACAATAATGGTTTTCACAGTCAGTCGACCTTTGACCCACGTGTTACTGAGAAGCTTTTTCACAGAAAGAAACGTCGTAAACCGCTTTATCGTTCAGCTATTCATTCTACAGCAGATCAACCTAAGTCTAGTTCACTGCCAATCACTAGCTCGTCAACGGAATCAGTCAAGAGGTATTCACACAATTCAAGAAACATGTCATTTATAGTCTCACCATTTGATATAGAACTAGCCCCCATGGAAAACCGGTTATATACGTAAGTCTTTCATTATTTGGTTCGTCTACTTGCCCAACATTTATTGACTTTATTTATTTAACTATCTTTTTAACCATCGATAAGGTTTGACCTGTTTCGCTTCAAGCACATTCGGCACTGTGAAGAAAAGATTGTGCCGTCACGCATTCTGTTCACTCTTTTGCTTCGTGTTTTATAAAGTTAGTTTTTCTTACTGCCTTATCCGTCTACCTTAACACCATTCGTGCTCAACATGAAAGATGAATCTCCGGTATTTAAAACGTTATGCTAAACATTTCTGGAGTACTGCTGAAAGATCAACATATTAATTGTCTTTTGGTGCATAAATATGGACAGATAGAAACATGATCAACATAGAATGTCGCATAGAAGTGCATCGGTTTGAATCACCAAACCTCACAGAAGCATGTAAGAATAAGTCAGTAGAAATAGTGATATCAAAGTAGACTAAAGCCTATGACAAGAAGAGTAAGTTAAATTCACAATTTTTGGTAAAAATATTAATCTCCAAACATTGACTCCCATTATCCCGATGGCATCAGCTAGATGGTCTGCACCGCTACACAGTCCAAGTCAATATTCAGAGAACTCATGGACTGCTACTAAATATTGGTCTGGTCACACTTCCCGTACTTAAGCTAGCATTGCACACCAAGGTAGGCTGTGGCTCGGCATGAACGATGCACACCCATGTCACCTGAGTTTGTGAAGGTCGACAACCTCATCGACTGACTTGCCTACCTTACCTGGTACTTTTTGCCTAATCTTGACATTGCTCGCCCTATGGTTTTGGTATTTGCCAGCAATAATGTGTAGATACCTAAGGTGAGAAACCTATGATCTCTTATCGTCTTTTTTCAGCGTCCAAGTCTCAAAGCCTTGCAGTTAGACAACGTGCAGTAAACTTGTCCTTTGACAGATAGTCGGATATCTCGCGAGCACCAGAGATGAACTAAGTTGGCACGAATGTCAAACTGGTCTTTTACTTTGTATGTTAAACATACAACATAGTAAAACAGTGTTATTTACAAAATAACGTTTTGGACAGAATTTATTATCCATATTCATATCAAGTAATCCCACAAATTTGAGACGGCTTATAAAGTCCTAATTTCCTCTTTTTCCTTGGGATGAGGATAGTAGAACTTTCCATATATCTAGAACAAGTGCGGAATCATTCTTGTTGCATGTATTTTGTATTGACGGGGTCAACAAGGATTTGCTTATCAATCTCCCTTCCTACCGAACTGAGTTGGTTTTTAATGCTGTTGCCCTATCCCACTCTATTGTGTGATTGTATGCAATCAGATGCATAGCTACAGCCGAGCTTTTCTGTAAATTTCTTATCTTATAAGTATCTTCCAATCTTGATTCAGCTAAGTTTTTGTATTCGAAGAGCCCAGTTGGCAGTGGTTGACTACTTCGACCTACCTAACTGACAATTTCACAATCGTTTCAAGGGATTCGGTAAACTAAGTTATTTTGCCTGGTTGGATCAATAGGATATTTTAACCTACAAGACTTGTTTCTCAGTGAGTCTGTAGATTTAATTGGCACTATAATCCCATCCTTATGAAGAATTATTTGTAGCGCTTCGAAGGTGCCTTGTATGGTGACACGATTAAGGCTTTGGATTTCTCTCCACAGTGTTACCATTATTGCTACCACTACTACTACTGCTATTACTACAATCATGATTATTATTCTAGGCACTTGTTACCACTACGGTTCATATTTTTCTTACAATTCATTATGAACTAGGTGAGTAATTATGGAGACATAAGGTGTGTCTAATATACCTAATTTTTCGTCACAGATTCTCTGTCCTAGTAGTAGTAGTCCCAGCCGATAATTCCTACCCTGATGTGGCATTCGGGCTTGTACACCAAAATGACCAAACGAGCTATGCCGCTGGAACGCTTGTTTCCTCGAAGTTTAACCATATCAGGAAAATCTGTTGGACAGTGGTTAGACAAAAAGCAGCTACCATTGTAGTGTAAATTGCTACGCTATGATGAGGAACTGACCGCGAAGTCGTACTGCTGACTGTACGGAGGTATGACAGCAGTAAGATGCTTGTCTTGGATGACCAGCAGTGCCACACTGGCCTGCCTTTCCCGTGGGGAGAGGGTACCCCGTGGTATGCCAATGCCTGCGACAGGGATTCATAGTCAAATTCAAAAGCAAGAAACCAAAATCTCAAACTTCCAAAAGGGCTGTGTGTGACCGACCTCAAGCAAATGTTCCTCGGGCTCTATGATCATGGACTATCCTTTCTCTTTCAGGTGCCTCGAAAATAACTAGCCTTCCATGGTGTGAGCAGCCGGGAAATTTCAACCGTCCACACGCTTCCAGTGGTACATAAAACCCGATCAGACATAACCTATCTTGCTCAACTCTATTTCCTGCTTTGCCTCCATCTCCTGATACTAATATCAAGCCTTTACACTCTCGCCAACCTCTCACAATGCAACTATTGGCAACGATTAAAGTCATGGAAACCTCATTCTTAGTCTCCTAAGACGCTGTCATCGTTTTCATGTAGGAGCTTTCAACACCCCAACTCTATACTGCATTGGAAAGCAAGCATCGCTTGCCAGAATTGTGGGATCTCGAGCCTTGGGTGTCTGCTGTATCTTTGCGACACGTGTACGAGATCCACATGTCGTTGCTGAACTAACCTCATCTAGCCATCATGGTGAATCTTCAAAATTCACCATACGAGTATCAGGAGACCCAGTGGCTAGCTGTCGTAGAGTCGCTGGGTTAGGCATAGCATTGAACTGTACGGCAGAAAGTGCACTCCTTGGCTGGATACCAGTCAACAGGTGTGCTGTACAACTGAATGGATCCGTAAGAACTAGGGAGAATCGTGCGACCAACCGATGACTTTTCTTAATCTTCGCCGACGCACCCACCCACTGCAGTTCGCATGATGCAAAGGATGAATTCTATGAAGAGCTATCAACTTTGCTACAGAAAGCTAACCCTTTAGGTGTCATGATGGCAAGTGACTTTAACTATCAAGTAGGGCAGGTGAGCTAAGCCAATTGGAAAGGCATATTGGGGTTATTTACGGAATCGCATGCCAACAAATCGACAACGGTGATCGTCTGTAATAATTTTGTCCCGACAATCACTTGTTTCTGGCCAGCACTAACTTCATGACTCATAAAGATAGGCACTGTATGACATGGCGTCCCCCGACTTCAAACCAAAGATGGACATATATAGATGATATTGCTATCAGCCAGCCATCGTTGGAAAGGATCGGTGTAGGATTACCGCTCTTTCTAGAGTGCCAGTTTGGACTCTGATCATGCGTTATTGCATGCTCGTGTATGTCTGCTCCTTACTGACCGCAAGAAAAAGGCGATAGATAGTAAAGCCTGTCTATAGTTGATTGGAAGATGAGGATGCCAGGTACGTATTTAGCTATGCATTTATCTGAAATTGGCAGCAATGATCATCTTGAGGAAATCTGGCGTGATAATAAGTCTGCTCTAGAAACAGTGGTAAAGACAGTTAGTAACCTACGCCGGAACGAAAGCTTGACATATGCATTAACTGACTAAGAGTCTTCACATTGATGACAAGCAGTGGTGAGTGGCTAACGCGAGAGAGATGAAGAAGGCATTAGCGTTGGGCAACAAGGCAGGTATTAAGGTTTACTAAGAATACCGTCAAGAAGAAGACGATAGTTAGTAAAAGCATCACGAAAAAGGATTGGGGGCTCGCAACGACTCACGACAGGTGACTAAAACTTTGAGAGGGAACACTTAGAAACCCAGTTTAACTGGCACACAGCAACGCTTCAGTTGTCCAACACTCAACCTGAACCTGGATTAGGCGTGGATATCAGTCCTCCAAATCTCGTCGAAGTTCAGAAGGCTTTATGAGGAGGTAAAAGGAGAGAGGTGTGAGTGAAGTGGACGCTCAGTGTCAGTTAAAATTATTGTAGCGAGTTGCTTGCTACAATTTAAGTGTCTGTCAACTACAGTGTTAGTCAGTTGGGCCAAAGGCACAGCACTCACCCTACTGACAGCTTTCAAAGCTCTACACTATATAACATAGTTCTTTTTTTGTAGAAGAGATAAAATGCAGGAATTAATAAAGTGTAGAAGCAGAGGTTGAGTTATACCAGAGAGTCTCAGTTTCTTTATGTAAGATTTTCTCGAAAGTCAACAATATATGAGATAACCAACAAAGATCAGAAGTAAAACTCGATCCAAGATAGTTAACACTTGATTTACTTTCTACAGGAATACCATCAATGCAATAGGCGTTATGAGACTAAGGCAGCTCTCACAAGTCTTCTTTACGCCTAAGGCTAAAATTAACAGCCTGACATTTAGAAGAGTTTAACTTAAAATCATTCGGTCAATTACAGACAAGAATTCATTTAATTCAGAGCAATCTAAGTGAAAGCTAATTAGAATAGAATGGAATACAAAAAGAACGAGAATAGAAATGGAGAAAGTACTACACCTTGAGGCAAACCGGGTTCAGTAAACAAATGAAGTGGCCCCCCTCCCTTTAAAAACAGTATATCTCTTTTTTTCAAAAATAAGAATGCAGCCGCTTTGTAACCTATGGCTCAGTATGACCTATGGCAAGCTTATTTAACAAGGTTGGTCTAGGAACAGAGTCAAAGGCTGATGAGTAATCTAAGAAGATACAATGAACATACTTTACACCTTTGTCTAAACTAGAAACAATATTACAATGCAGGACAGTGACAGCGTCTAAAGTAATTTTCCTGTTTGTAAACGAATTGTTTTGAATCTCTGAAAGCCTTCAGTGTAGGTTCAAGCACAAGGCGAAGTAATTTCTCCATTGTCTTCGAAAAAGAGAAAGTTATAGCAATGAGTCGAAACTTAACATTTGATCCAAAAGACCACCTAGTTAGACATAGGTACAACTTTAATCTCTTTCCGAGGAGTGGGTGTTACATTTTTGGAAAACTATACATTTAAGATATCTGTAAGAGGATGACATGAAATATCTGCACATCTTTTTCTGCTTCATATTTTGTTGGAAGATGTTATAGTGTAACCCCTTCCCCTATATTTGGAAGCGTTTGTGTAAACACCTGTAATTTTGCAGGAAACTATATGATCAGTTAAGCTTGAGGGCTTTTGTCTAAGACGCAGTTGCTTTTTTTAAGCCTTATATGAATGATTTCAGATTGGAAATCATTATGGACTGACATTAGTTGGAGGGATATTGGAGACCTTGGAGCACTGGACAACCGTTTTGTCCTAGTATGGGACTCCTCAGGAGTGCGCACCCATGACCCCCCCTCCGCCGTAGGTGTCGAACTCAGAACCTCCCAACCTGAAATGAGTTAGTAAATCTCCACAAACCTCCAGATAGCTTATATAAAAGGTTTTCATAATGCCATTAGAGATAGGAATAATTAGCTGTTTAATCTGTTTAAATTACTTGCTCTTATCGAATTTCAGCACTTGGATAATTTGTACATTTTTCTTAAGTTCAAGCAGCTTTGTATGACAATATTTATTGTTTTTGTTATTGCTCATCTTATATTCTTAGACTTACTGTAATGGATGAAATGACCAGTGTAGATATAATTTTAGAGGAATGCAAAATTGTTACACCGATCGCCCCATCACTTGGAAATATATCGGAGTCGAAGAAGAGTTATTCAACTACTCCAGAGGGAGTAACAGGATCATCTTCAAATAGTGATCTACTCCATGAGATGACATTTAATCCCAATTTATGTCCAGTCATTATTGATGCTAGTGCTGGAGCTTTAACACCTAGTCTTTCTTATCTAGATCAGCATAAAGGATTTGAAAGTTGGACAGAAAATAAGTCAGATATTAAAGAAGATGTTACACTGAATGCTGATGCTCGACCTTCAAGTATATTAAACCAGATATACCAGTCAGGTATTCATAGAACATTCCGTTTACTTGGACTACGAGGCTCTCAAACAGATCATTATTTCTACATCCTTAACAAAGCTACTCATGTTGCTGTATATATTCGGTTAGCTGTAGTCCCAAAGTTTGGTAAGTTCTCCTATTATGTTGTAAATCCTTTTGATTTGATAAAAGCAGCTTAACTAACCCGTGGTCGGTGTATCACAAAACACTTATGAAATGAGATCTAAGTTTTCTAGGATTTCTCATGAATGTGCTTAACTACCATAAATGTTCACCGTCAGGATTTTTTATTTATTAGAATTCGTTATTTACTGATATATCTTTAATTTCCTTCAAATTATTTATTCTCTCATACAACTTCTGGTTTGATATCACTTTTTCTACCTACCCGTTCTTTGTGTACTTCTGTGAGGTTATTGCAAGTTAAACCATGCACCAGTGTGATAGGTTCTATATTGGTTTTGTCAATCAGTCAGTCTAGTTAACCTAAAGCTTTGCGGATGAAATACTCCTGTAAGGGAAGATGCTAAAAAAATTCAGAGTCATTTGAAGGCATTCAGAAAAAATCTAATTACGTCTTCGGGATTTTTACCTATCTGTCAAGTATAGGATGGTGTTTCAGGGTTCGTCTACACTAACTTTCAGTTCAGGAATAGTGAATGAGATAACAGGATAACCCTTTTTTTCTTATTTGTCTTGTTGTATTTCTTCGTTTATCTTATCTTTTCTTTCTTTGTCTAATAGTTTTCAGGACTTCTGACGAAGTCTATGCTGGGACACAGAAGGCCTGTTTGGCATTTATCGACTTGCGTCACCTGTGGTACAGTCAAACAGTCACCTTACTGTCAATCATATCACAGTTGAAGGTAAAAGGTTTTAATCATAACTACCCGTCTATCATTTCGTACGTGTAGTGAGACTACAGGATGAGCAATATTGAGGCTAGATGTACGGTAGCAAGAAAGAAAAGTCAGCCAATGACATTTCGAACCCACATCAACTCAGGTGTCTTGGGTATCTGTTGCTCATGCTAACATACCTTCTTTGTTGGCAACCAATGTTCGTCGAAGTAGGATAAAGTTTATAGAAAGTTGTGGGGTATCAGAACCTGCAATGTTACCAGTTTACGAGGTCTTTTACTTTTGATGTATGCTGTATTATAAACAATTAGTTATCACCCACACTGACATGATTATTTTGTTGATTCGACGGTGGTTTCGCTTGTTTGAAGTCGAGTTGATGAACAATTTACTCGGGAAAATTCCTTCAAAATTTTTAACATTCTTTATCCATCTTGCTCCCAACTAATACACTGCCTGACCGTTAGTTGCTAATTTAACGCGGTGGTCTGGCTTGCATACCACGATGACTCAGCCAAGTATCCTAGTGTTAAAAGATTGTTCCCTGAGGTTCTACCTTAACAAAAAGGTTTGTTGGATAGTAGCATGACTGGACGCACTTACCATCATGGTGTAAATATCTTACTCCACAGTTGGGTTCCGAAGGTGAAGTTGTATTGCTGAGTGGATGAGGTGTGATAGCAGAGCATTGTGTTCCTAACGAATAGCTGAAAGTACTGTCCTGATGCTGCCTGCCCTATGGGCCCTAAAAGTAGCACATAACCCTACCCTGAGATATTCCGGTGCCGTGTCTTTGGCATTTCTTTTACTTGTTCGACGTTAGCACAATCAAATCTCAGTCGAACAATCTTCAAAAGGTGTAGCCTGGAGCAGATGTTCTATGGACTCTGTAGACACCCAAAACTAGTTCCATTTCTCTTGCAGGTGTTGTGCACAAACAACTGCTATGATACGGGCAGGTAGGAAGCGCCAACCACCAACACACTTCGAGTAGTATGAACAATTCAATCAACCAAAAATAACTCTCGTTCCTAATCTTCACTTACTCATACTAGTATTGATCCTCTTAAAACTTCCTAAACCTCATCCTGCTATCGTGCTGGTGACCGTTGACGACTTCACATCGCAACCTTCAAACCGTATGCCAAATTGACACCAGGCAAATCTCATAAAGACTCTAAAATCTCGACTTAACCATGTAGACTGTCTTTCTGAGGCATGCATACAACAACCGAATGTGGTTATCCACTCCACCGCATCTGCCCGATGCAGTGGATCTCAAAAAATCACTGACTCGCCACTGAAGGTATAGCAGAAAGTTCACTTCTCCACTGGATACAAGTTAGAAACCGTCATTGTTCTCTCTCACTCAGTAAATCTGTAAGAAATAGAAAGGGTCGTCAGACTTTTTGTCATCTTCGCACAGATGGCCACCGAATGATGGGATGATACAAGTCTGAAATCTATCAAAAGCCATCAATTTCTTTACACAAAGCGAGGCCTTCAGCTTTAGTCATAGCAGCAGGCTACCTAGATACTAAGGTTGAAAAGCTATGCCGAAAGGTGACAAATCTTGGGAATGTCCGCAGAAAGTCACTTGTATGGAGAAATACTGTCTCATGTTCTTCCCACCAACGTAAAACATCTCAGTGGCTTAATTTAATGCCTAAAATTAATAATACTAGTAGAACGTATGGTAGCATTAAGGTTCCTAAAACAGGTTATCCTATTAGGCCAATATACGAGTTATCTAATAAATACTTGGTTACAATACTATGCCCTGTTAGAAATTGCTTATAATCTAGGCTCACCAATTCAATTGAAATGAAGCACAGACTAAATAATATACAATTAGATGAGGGAGAAATATAGTCAGTTTTCACGTGATGAGCCTCTATACAAATATAACAATTAATATGGCATTTGAGGCAGTCAGAAATGACCTGACAACTGACCATTACCTCGGTAATAGAACTAAAGTTTCTATTGAGGAAATTATGCTAGGGTTAAGACTATATTTAACTTCCACAGTTTCCAAATTTCAAGACAGAATATATCAACAAACAGTAGGAGTAGCGATGGGATCTCCAATATCCTCATCGTAGCAGACATATGTATGGACAGTTGGGAACAACTAGTATTAGGAACATTCTAACCCACTTCAAAAGTATCGCGACGATATATAGATGAAACATTCACTGTTCTGAAATCAAAACACACAGAACACAGAGTTTCTTTGCACACACTAACTAGATAGTAGATGCAATCCAATTCACTTATGAATAAGAAAATGAGGAAGGAGAATTACCTATATTGGATTACAAAATCAAGAGGAGACAAGATGGAGGCTTAGATATCAAATAGATACTTGGATTTCACATAATCTCACCCTATGTCTGTGAAAGCAGGCTTGATAAAATGTTTCAGTAATTTGCCTAGGAGTTTGACTAAATACGGAAACAAAACACATCACAGAAACACTACTTCTCAATAACTATCCTCTAGAATTGATTAGAACGCTTATCAAGACTATTAAGAGAAAGGGTGATAATGTTAGTGGTGATTGCAACATGTGTGAGAGGGAATTCAAATCCTCTGTGGTGTTGCCGTATGAGGAAGGTACATTGGAAATTATACGTAGAATTCCTAACAATACTGGGATAAGGGTGGCATTTAAACGCACAACCTCACTCAGAGACAAACTTTGTAGGCTAAAAGATTCAATAGAGCCGATTAGGAAAAATAACCTGACCTACCAAATACCATGTAATGATTGTGAGGTCAAGTATACAGGTCAAAACAGTCGATCTGGGTCAGTCAGAATAGCAGGACACAAAATTTAGCGAAACATACAATGGTAAACCTTACAAAGATGAATAATTCAGAGGAAAACTTGGCTATCACTCTGCATGCACTGACCCATAATCACACTACTATAGGGTGACAATTCTAAAATTCAATATAGCTAGGTGGAGGGAGAGATCGATCACAGATTCTTTGTTCATTGAATCCATACCTAACAAAACATGTAACAGGAATAATTCATCACATATTGCAGATATGCGGAAAACTTTATTACCACCAAGATAAATGAATGAAGAAGTGTTGAAGTATGTGAAGGAAGTTTGAAAGTCGTATGATTACTTTGATAAGAATATGAGCAATGAATGCTGTTCGAAACGTCATCCAGTATATTATATTGTGTCACTGTGTGCCACATCAAATAAGCAATCTAGTATGGAATTTGTTGAAGCTAAACTTTGTTCAAGATATAATAATTTCTCGCCGCCAAATCCTCACATAAAATCGGGTTGCATTCGCAAATTCCTATGTAAATGTGGATGCAAGCACAACATAAGAGCTAAAAAGAAAGATGTGAGTAGGTTCTTCCTGACAATACTCTAAGATATTTACTACTGAAACTGAGCAACATCTTCACAGAACAATGATGAGACATTCAATGATAACAGAACATGAATTCGAGTGAGAATTCCATTGAGAAATAATGAACAGTGAAACACAAATTTCCTTACTCACTGTTATCAAGTACTTTTGGTGTGACCTAAGTCTACACAAGGAAGGAAGGAAGCTTGATCAGTCTTTGATTTTTGCAAATTACACCTTAAATAGTTTGTTAAGCAATTAAATTTCTCACTGACAACTATTGAATTTAACTCCGGTAATTTTTTAGTGAGACGTATTCGTATATGATAGACTGGTATTATTGATAAGGGCTGGTGATTGAATGAAAGCAAAATGAAGTCGAAATGCGGTTGAAAGCAGCATAAATAACACATAAATATGCACTAATTTGTGATTGTAGGTGATAACTTTTTTACCTACTATATTCTTCTGATGTACTTGTGAATCAGCTAGTCACTTTTAATGGATCAAATATTAGTCCCGATATTCATTGTGACTTTAAGTTGTTTACAAATGATGAGAAGCTGTGAAATAATTATTGAAATCCAGTGTATGAAGTTTACCTTTTGCTATAAGTCTCAAGGTCCGACGACAGGTCCGGCAGACAGAAAGAGAGAAGAGAAAACGAAGTATCTTAACCTTCATCTTGATAACACTAATTCAATGAACGTGTACAACGTCTCTTTTGTAATATTCTATACACACCCAATGGACGAAAAATAACTAGATCGCTGAGCATAATCATTATAAGCTGGTTTATAATCGTTTTATCATGTGAACAAACAGGTTTATCTCAGTAAAAACTTAAGAAATTTATGAATGTACATTAGGTAGTGGTATTTAGAACACTAGGATGATTGTGAATAAATTACACTAAACACAGAATGATGTAACCA